TCACACTCTCAATCTAAACCCTCCACAGGCGGCTGGGACACACTGGGGTGGCCTCTTCCAGGGCCCAGCTCAGAGAGATCTGAGGCATCTTGAGTGTGCTTGAATAACCCAGTTATATGCTTGCTTTCATTATTTAATAAGAAAATGATCCTTCCAAAGCACTCAAACCATTAGACTGCGCTTTGCCCTTTTAGTTGTTCTGTAACAGAAGATGATCACATCTTTCAGGAAATGAAGATAAAGCACAAATTACATGTGTTCCTTCCTCCTGCTTTGCCTTGGGCCAAATATGTGCAGCATCCCAGTGGCTGGGAGCAGGCAGGAATAACTGCAGTGGAAGTGGCTCCTTTGTTTCAAGGGCTTAGCTCTAGTCAACCAGTTGAGAGTGTATTTTACTGCCTTTGTGCCCATTATTTGAATGTTCTGAGTTGAAACTGGCCTGCCAGAGATGTGCCACAATAGGGTGCAAAGGTGAGATGGAAAGCCCTATCTAGAAACTCATTAAGCATTGGCTTTGGCCCTGATTTTTGCAACTGAAAGGGATGGAAATCAGTTTTCTGTCCATCTTCCCTTGAAAATTGAATCCGAACGCTAGAGCCTTTGAATGCTTCTTCACACATGTAACCTGATCAATGGTTTATTGTCTCAAGTCCTCTGGGGAGTGTCACAAGCCCTCGGGCTGTGCCTGAGCATTTCATTTTGCATTTAGCTAAGTCAGCAGAGAAATATGCACAAGCTTGAGCACAAGCCAGACAGCTTCTTCTCTGCTCCGTCTGCAAAAAATCTTTGGGTCTGGGATCACCCGCGCTGCTGGACCAGCCTTCAGAATCAATGGATGTACCTGGAGAAGCCGGTACATAGCATGTGGGTTTTGCTAAATCTGCTAGTGCAAGCATGGCAGATTTTGAAGGGCTCTGATCCCTTCAACAGTGTGATGGGGTCAGCAGTTTTAGTGCATCATAAGCACCTGGATGTCCCTTTAATGGGCACTTCAGTCCAAATGATGGCAATCCTCAGCACAAGGCTGGAGAGAGATTTGAGCCTGCTTGCTGCCTATGCAAGTGGTGGCTGCAAAGATACAGGGATGGAGAGAGATCTCAGTGCTAATATTGATGTCTTTTCTCATTCCCTCAGGGAGAACCTGGCCCACCTGGTTTGCCTGGCCCAACAGTAAGTATTTACCCAGCATCAACTATCTTATTTTCTCTTGTAAATTTACCACAAGGAAATAATGCTTGTGAATCACTCGTTTTCCAGCAATAAGAGTCAGCAGCAGCACTTTCTCCCTCTCGGTCTGTAGGAGAACTCCTACGCATGTTTATCGAGCAGGCTAAAGGGGAACGACAGCTTGTCGTCAGCACCGAACCTGAGAAGAAACGTTCTCGTAGCTAGGAGAGCAGATGGTCTGAGACGAAGGCCGAGGAGAACAGAGTTAAAATCACAGCATACATCTATTCTCCTCCAAGACCCAGTTTTTACGATGCTTTGTATGCCTGAATTGCGATTGTTGCTATGCACATTCTCGGTTCTGGTCACTTGGCCGTGGTTTGAACTATTTGGCGTGTGCACAGAGGCAGGTTTTGCATGGGTGTAGCAGGAGCATGCCGCCTTGGTGTGTGCTTTTAGTTCCCCCTAGAAGTGTGGGCTGCACCACCAGTCTAGACGCAAGCTGAGCATTTGGATGACAGTGAAAAATACGTGGAAAGCATAGAGTCAAGCAGTCTCAGTGATGAAAGAAGATGCTTCAAAGTACTTCTCCAGGGTTGTCCAAACCCAACTGGACTAAAGACCTCCACAGTGGCCAAAATCTGCTCTGTGTAATACACCTGGCACCAAGTGCCTTCCAGGGCTATCCATTCCTGGCAGGATCCATTTCACGGGGAGATGCTCCAAGGCAGGAATAAGCAGGTTCACAGGGAGATGCTCCAAAGTTTATGAGCGTGTATGAGATTTGCATGTGGATGAATTATGAAATCTAATTGTGTCATAGGGCATGACATTAACATTTTAAGAAAGGATCTTATCACTGTCTTGCGTACATCAGGGCATGTGTTGGTAATTATATTAACAGTCGTTGTCTATTATCTGGTTTAGGGACCTAAAGGTGCACCAGGGAAGCCTGGAAAGCGTGGAGATGCCGGGTTACCTGGCCTTCCTGGAGTAGATGTGAGTATTTCAGCTTATTCTCCTGGATTCTTCAAGCACTTTATGTTGGCATGGGCATTTTTCCAAGGCAGCTTGTCAACTTGCACTAAATCTACTGGAGCAGCGAATGTGGGTACTGAACTGAATCAGAGTCTTGTACGCCAGGAGAAATCTGAAGAGACAACTGGACTGTCAGCAAATCTGAATTATTGTTGGGGTTTGCAACATGTTATTTCATGCAGCATTATGTCAAAACCTACAGCATTGCTGGGGCACCATAGGACCGAGCTGTCTGTGACCTGTTTTGATCACAAGACCAGCACTTCATCTTCATGGGAACTCTGTCCAGAGAGCCATTGCCTCTCGTTATAGTTTCAGATGATTTGAGACAGGTAAAACATTTGCATCGTCAGGTGTTTTTTGTGCTAGCAACTGAGTCTGCCTTTGCTTGTGTTCTTTGTACCCAGCTAAAGCATCAAACATAAGGGACAAATTGACAAGGATTCGGGTTTCCTTCAGGCTCTGTTACCAGTTAATCCAGATTCTCAAGGTTCAGACTAAGCATATTCAGTCCTTTAAGGATTTTGTTGGATGTCTTTGACTTCCCAGGACAGAAAAAAACAAGTTACTAAAATCTCTGACAGGAGTGTTGTTTAATCAAGTGAAGAAAGAGTTGCATATTTTCTGAATCAGAAATGAGGAAACAAAACATTAAACTGTTCAGGCTTGGTCAGCAAGCGAAGTTCTTTCAGAATGCAGGAATTTAGCCCAAATTCATATTTTTGAATCCCTCTCTTTTCCATGGTTTAGTGGGTGTGCACTCCTGGCTTTCAGGACAAATGAGGCCAGGCTGTTGTAACCATGCTACCAAAAACAAGGCATTTGTATTATATCTAGTAGCATAGGTGTAATAACAGACTGAACAGTCATCCATGGATGCACTGCAACGCAGCATTATTCCTTACCATCCTTCTGCTCATTGTGCATCGTCTCTGCCTTTTAACTATCATGTATTTACCATCCTTGTGAGAACAGACTAGGTTCATGCAGAGATCTGCAGCTGCCAGAGTCACTGCCTAGTTGCTGCCTGCCAGCAAACATCTAAGCAGGTGACATCCAGCTCTACACCTGTTGACCCAGACTCTGTAACATTGTACTGCTCCGGCAGGGTACAGCCCTGGAAGTGAAACCAGCTTGAAAGAGGCTGTGTCTGCTTTCATCTCCCTGCTAAAAGAAATTCTAGCCAAGCGAGAGTAAACTATCTGACCTGTGCAGGGTTTCAGTGTTTGGGCTGCAAACACGGCACAGACATTCTCAAATGCAAGCTTATTGAGCTAAAAAGTGTTATAAGAATCTTTTTATTACTATATATATAGTAAAGATTCCTATAAATCTCTCTCTCCCCCCCCCCCCACACACACACAC